CGCATCAGCGTCGGGCTGGCTTCTAACTGTAGACCGTATCTGCCCCGTTTGTGGCTTTATGTTTTTGTAATAGAGGGCTTTTGGGGTTTAATAAACTGAGTTTTTCTGGCGGAGGGTTAGGAACCTCTTGGGTTCGAATATAAATATTATCTGTACGAATGGCAGTAGCACCGATGGTCTTTGCCGTGGCTTTCCTTAGCTTTTTCTTAATTATCTAAATTAATGGAGGGTGGCATTTGTTGCTAAAAGGCGAGTTAGTAACCGTTTAAAACCCAGCTTGGCTTTGGCTGCTGTTTGATCACGGCCAGTCTGTATTTACATGTTTCACGTGAAGGGATCTTTGTGCATTTGAGGGAAGCGAGGTGTGCCTAGGAGCCTTCCTTGCGTCCTCCTAGAGATACAGACTCGGTGCCTCTTCCTGGGAGGTTGAATTTGCCTTTTTATCGGGGGTGAGGAGAGGGAAAGGGGGGGAGGCGGCTGCCAGAGAACTCTAGAGTACTTAGGCTAGGCTGCAGCTCGCTGGAAGCGATGCACGGGGAAACTGGTTGTAAGAAGTGCTTATTTAGGTGTCTCTTTGTTACCAGTTCCGCAGAAGTGAAATGCTCCCTTTGTGTTGTGGGGATTCAGGCGCTGGCTGAGATGAACCGGTGGAGAGAAGTTCTGTCTTGGGTCCTACAGTATTACCATGTCCCTGAACACTTGCCTCCAAAAGTTCTGGAGCTGTGGTGAGTTTCTGTCTGCGGCTGTCTGACATATGCAGTTGGATTTAATAGCAGGCCAGACTTGACTATTGTGTGATATTTTCATTTTGTGTGGTGTGAGGATGAAAGTGGAACCTGGGACAAGCCTGTTCTCGACCTGTGTGTGCATGCCTGCAGGCCTGCAGATTGCTTCACGATGATAAAGTACAAAAGGGGTGATGCTGGGAAAGTAACATAGGCTGCATCTATTGTCCACCTCGGAAATCTCTTTGTGTTTCTAGTGTAGATCCTGATACAGGCCTTCATGGCAACTGCTTGTGGGTAGTAACTGTCAGACAGAGTTAGTGTTTTCTAGTATTTCTTTCTTGTATTTCAGTATCTTGTTATACCGCAAAGTGGGAGAGCCCCAGGTGATGCTGGAGGTTGGCAGTACCTGGCTGAGAGACCAAACCAATAAAAGCCTCCCTGAGTACAGTTCATTGCTGGAGCTCTATCTGCTGCAAGTGTTGCTTCCGCTTGGCCGGTTTGAGGGGGCAGAAGAGCTTGTACGCAGCTGTGATGTTTTTGACAGTGAGCAGCAGCTAGCATTTCTTGGGACCATTTGTGAAAGCCGATGTCAGTGGACTCAACGGGAAGAGATGCACTCAGCTGCTGAAGAGCAGCAAGATGCAGCCACAGAAACTGTTTTGGGTAGGCTTTCCCTCTGTTGTTCATGCTTCTTTTCATTATATTTTTATTTCAGGTTAGTTGGTCCCTTACTAACAAAAGGTAGCAAGTATTAACTGTATTAAGAATATTGTCATGACATGCGGAAGTCCTGTTGTGTATCGCAGCCACGAGAAATTCCTGTTGTGTATCACTGAATGAAATGGAAGACTTAGTGATCCATTTGCTGACAATTGCAAAACATACTTAGTCTGCTGATGTCAAGATGAGAGAATTATTTTCCAGGTTCAAAAGCACTTCAGAATATTTTTTTTTTTTCCAAAAAAGGTACAAAAGGGAAACTAAAACTACCTAGCAATCCTTTAAGGGCACATTTTGTTAGTTCTGTGTACTTTCTGCTTTGTCTCCCTTTACAGGTGAGCCTGTGTAGAACAATGCATGTCTGGCATTTAAAGTATTGTTGCTCCTCCAGAGCTGTAGATCACCTGATGTTATCTCCCAGGAGAGAAGCTGGCAATATAATAAGATCATATTACAGTAAAGTAGATGCCTTAAAAAAAAAAAAAGCCATAATGAATTGTATTGCCAAATTGTACTGTTTCTCTGTTCCCTATTATAAAAAAAAAAAAAAACAACTCAACTGTCATGCAATCAAACTAAGAACTTACTTTAGTATCTTAGTTTCTTATTCTCTGTATCTATGTGATCACCTTTTTTACCTTACTTTGCCCTAACAGCCTTTCTGTTCTTGTATTCTAGGTGCTTTGTCCCAAAAGCTCTTGACTGTGTTGACATTGCTACGTAGAGCACTCAGGTCCATGTCAAGCCACTTCTATTTACTTCCTTACAAAAAGATGTTCTTGGCTACTTTTCTGCTTTACCTGGTGGTGGTAAGATTAGACCCAGGTATAGTATTAAGATTTCCAATTTTTTAAATTCCATTATGGTTATAGAGAAGAAAATAGTTTATTTTAATGATTTGGTCTGTGTAATTGTCTTGTCTTTGGGAGGCACAAAAACTGGGCTACTAGGAAATTACTATTAGGCTTGTTTCTGATGTTTCCAGTTGCAATCCACGTAGAAAGGTGTAGCTCTACAAAAGCCAGTTTTCTGAAAACAGTCATTCCATCCTCATCTCCTTCCAACAGACAAAGTACAGACTGTGAGAAGCTGGCTGAGCTGTCCTGGACTCAGCCTCTGCCTCAGCCAACTTGAGGTGCTACAGGGTGAATGCCTCCTGGAAGAGCAATTGCCTGACAGGCTGTCCTGTCAGGAAAGCGGAGAGTTGCCCAGGGCAGCAATGTAGTCATGCATTTGATCTGTTTATGCTGGATTCACTAGTGATGGCTTCTGCTGTCACTGAAGAATAGGCTGGTCCCATGATGTAGAGGTGGCATCTGGGGCATGGAGGGGATGAATGTTTCCCCTTCTGCTGGGTGGCAGGTGCTCCATAGCTCTTCTGCAAATAGTCCATTGGAAAATACTGAAGAAGGCTTGCTAGGGATGGGAGCAATGCCCTGAGGAAAGGCCGAAGTACTGAACCGAACAGAAGGGAGTAAGACAACTAGGTTTCAATTATCTCTAGTTGGGGTTAGTTCTTTCTTCATATGTTTAGTGTATCTTAGTTTTAGTTTTTATAATGAAGGGCTCTTTTGCTTTTTGTTTTGTTCTGCAGCTTCTCCCACATCACTGCCATTCATTTACAAACTGGTCCAGCTCTTCCGGCAGACTTGGGCAGCTGTTTTTTCTCCAATCCGTAGGCCTCCAGTTCGAGACTAAGTGTATTCCATCACAGAATGCGTTTTTTTTCTCTGCTGCTGTAAAAGTATCAGCCTGTCTTGAGGGTGTTATCAGACTCTACAAGGACTGCTGAAATCAGTGTCCTGATTGAGATGACAACTTGTGAAGTCCTGTATGGTGATACCTTCATTTTTTCAGACGGGGAATGGTGCTGTATGAATTTTGAAACCACACCAAGTACTCCTGACGTTTTGCCTGGCTCTGCAGCACTGTTCTGTCCAACACCAGGGTAAAGCCACTCCTTCCATAATCTACAGCTGAATAAGAATCCTCTTTTTCAAACACTGCTTTGGATGTAGCTTTTGAGTGAGGATGGTGTAGCCAGTTACGAACTATAGAAGAAGGCTTTATCCGTGCAAATGCTGGGCAGTTCTCAGAACAAGTGAAATAGTGTTCCTGGAGGAATGACTGTAAAAGGCAATGGAGTACCAATAATTAGGGGAATATTCTGTTTTGCTTGAAGACATCTGAAAAGCCTATTTCCTGCAGTATGGGATTTAGGACAAACGTGGAAGAAAAACACTGGAGAAAGTGAAGCCTGTTGCATTTTGAAGGCCATGGTTTCTCTTCTGACTGATGCCTCCTTATACAGGCGCTCTTGTTTTTAGTCATATTTAAGCCAGAAAGCCGAGGGCCACAAAGACCGTTGTGCTGCACCTGCTCTTCTTAAATGCAAATTATAGCACTTCGTGCTTGCCTGAATGCATAGTAATTCTTAAGAGCATGTGGTGGTGGTAAGGAAATAGATTTATTTTTTTAAACTATATTCTGTATTATTGTCTAGTTGAACAACTGAAGATGTTGCATTATTTTATTCTTTCGCTATCTCTTGCTTTGTTTATGTAGGTGTCAGAAAGTCTCTGTATGTCTAGAACCCATGCCCTGCTCCACCTCCCATATCTAAAGTCCTGGTTTATGTGGGAGCCATTTAGCTATGCTTTATCATTCAGACCAGAAGTTCATTAATAGGCGGATATTTCTCCGAGATCCCCAAATCTTCCCCAGATCTGTGGCAAGAAAATCATTGTCTTTGTAGAAGATTTGTCACCAGACTGACCCCATTTCTGACCATTTGGGGCAGAAATTGGAGGTTTGGGGTATAACATTCTTTTCTTCTCCATCCATCTACCTGTCATCACTTGACAAAGGGTAAATTCAAAAGGAGAGAGCACTGACCTACTTAAATTCTGCTTCCACTGGAGCAAACTGTTGTTGTGTTGGAGAGACAAGTTAAAGGTAAGCAGCCTTTGTGGCGAACAAGTAGCCCACCATCCCAGCATCTATGCCACAAGGACGGAGACTGAGTGACATCAGCCCAAACTACAAAATGCTGAACAAAGCAGTCTTTCTGGCGAGTAAATTCTATCCAACACACCAAACCTGTGAAGAGTAGCCAATATAGATCCCAGTACAACAGAAGTCCCCTTCAGGTGGCTCCTTTGTCTCTAGCAGTCGCCATACACTGAGATGGTGGCTATTTCTGTTTTCTTTGCAAGGATAGCAGCCTCTTGGTGCCTTTATAGTGTGTGATCTGTTGCTTTGTTGTCTATTGGGACACTTTGAAAACAGTTCTGTGTCTAGTTCTGGGATTATCCCAATGGAGAGATACTCCAGTATTAGTGTCAGAAAAAACTGGGGCAGGTCATTTGTGAATGCAGTTATGACCTTGCTTAGTTGTCTCAGAGTAAAAACCAAAACAATTCCATCTCCCTCCCCAAAGTTTTTGTCTCTGCTAGGACTTTATACCAGGATAAGTAGCACATAATGCTTCACCATATTAAAAAGTTTTTTTTCTTATATACTCTGTAGACATAGAGAAGAGCTGCTCTTGATACTGCTATGTGGTTCTTGCAATCCAACTAGAAGTGTAGTTACAACTCTGCAACCAACAGTTGATGGGAAACCAGGTAGAATCAAACACAGAGGCTCTGTCTGGAGTTGAGCTCTGTCAAGAAATGACTAGGTTCTATCTACTGGCCTCCTACTTTGCAAGGCCTCACTTAAAAGTATTTTCTAAGCCAGTTAATGAAATAGCAAACTTCACTCTGAAGTCAGGCCACATTCTCACCAGGTTGACTGTTTAAGTAACAAGCTCCGCCCCCCCCCCCCCCCCCCCTGTCTTTATACTATTCT